AAACCTTTTCACACCACTGTGTATATATATACATATATATATATATATATATATAGTATAGTTTTAATACAGCGGTCATGACATAATTATCAGCACAACACAAAATTATTATCAGCTTATCAGTATCTTGCCTCAGAATTTAATATTGGTGCATACCTAATTGAGGCGTTTCATTTTTGTGAAATTTTGCCGCAAAATACACCACAATCCTAGAAACACCTACTTTTGTGTTTGGACTCCATTGAAAACTCACCCAAATGCGCAACACGGGCTAGCCGGGGGTCAAAGCCCACCTGCTGCACTTTATCTGTCCTGGCAAGAAAGAAATTGATGACTCCATCAGTGACAACACAGTGAGGAAAGCCCTGGATGATGTGATGGAAGCCTCTCAGCATGTGCAGACAGTCCCCGTCTTCCTCTCCAGCTTCAATTGAGATTGTCTGCCTGTAGGTGGCAGTGTAGCCTGTAGCTTCACGCACTGCTCCTCCAACCTAAACACACACAGCAGCCGAACACTAAGAACAATGCAGGGATGATAAACTGAACTGGAGGAAACTCTTTAGTACAGAGTATCTCTTCCTATTAAAAAAAACACCTTTAAGCGATTTTTTTTTCGCTTTATAAAAGCAGATGTGCTTGTCTCCTTATCTAAGGCATGACTCCAGCTGTATGACTGTGCACACAGAAGACCCGTTCACTGCAAAGGTCACATAGCTGATCCATTCCAGAGCAATAATCTGCCCTAGATCTGCTGCTGCCTAAAGCAAAGTGAAATGCAAACTGTATTTATTGTACTCTTTCCTTAGCCAAATTTTGTGATTCAAACGGATTCCAACTATATTAACCTTTAAGCCCTATGTCCACCAAAGCGTATTTAGCCTGACCTACCAGAAGTAATGTGGCAGACACATTGTGAATGAAATACTGCAAGCAATATTTTTCATTTCAATATTTGTAAAAGTCCGGGAATCCCATCTGCTTAAGACATGAATACTCCGAGACAAGCAATATTAACGTCTCCTCCATTGTTGTTTAGCCGTAGTACAAGCATAATGTGTGTGACAGTTGGTCGGAGTGGTATTTTCCCCGCCCCTCCTCCACTGTGATTGGACATCTGATTAAAATGTGACCGTGATGAGCACTGCGTTTTATCCAAAGTTGAACATTTTTCAACTCTCTGCGCTGAGAAAAAAACGCCCGAGCGCTCAGCGTGAAAAAGATGCTCAACGCTCGACACGTTCCTGCCGTTTTAAAAAATGCGGCGCTCCCATTGAAAGCAATTGAAAAAATACTCCAGCCTCGGGAAGAAGACTGGCCATTCAAAACTCTTCCTTTGTAAGCAGGGTACTAAAAACTGAACAAAATTCAAACAAACACGTGTTGTTCTAAAAAATATCTTCCACTTTTGGACCATTTTGACATTTACAGACTTGGACAATTGTTTCCTCTGTTTGAATTCCACACCAATCAGTGCCAAAGACAGAGGCCGCATTTACACTGCATGGTTCAAGTGACCCAATTCTTATTTTTTCCTCCCATGTGGTACAGCTCGGACATGGCCCACGAACATGTAAGCAGGAAAAAAAGCACATGGACTCCGATATTCTCAGATCGTGTCTCAGATTAAACATCTCTAGTTGACTAGCAGAGTATTAATTTAGTTTGTTTGGGTTAAATAAGAGGCGATCTGGCACTGAAATGTGTTGCTTTTGAAATCATGCTGAGTGATCGTTGCCGCTGTAATCAGTGACGGTGGCTCGTGCACAGACGAGTGCTTCAATCTATTGCTAACTGTTGTAGAGGCTCTCTATTAGGGGTGGGGGAAAAAATCAATACAGCATAAAATCGCGATATTTTCCGCGGCAATATCGACACACGGACGCCAAGTATCAATCTTTTATTATACTATTTGGTAGAATAACAAAATCAATTTCTTTACAGTCCACTAGATGGTGCTGTTAAGTTTTTTTTCTAATCTCCTTTAAAGGGGTCATATGATGCGATTTCAAGTTTTCCTTTCTCTTTGGAGTGTTACAAACTGATTGTGCATAGATAAGATCCCTGAAGTTGCAAAGACTAAAGTCTCAAAACCAAAGAGATATTCTTTATCAAAGTTTAGACTCTGCCACGCCCCCCTAAAACGGCTCGTTCTAACACGCCCCCACATATCTACCTGACTATGTGGAAATATTTGCATAATACCGCCCAAATGTGCACTCAAAGAAAGAAGGCGTGGTTTCAGTAACCGCAGTTAGTGTTGAAACAGCCATGTCAGGGAGACGCTGTGTGTTTCTAGGCGAAAACAAAAGCACTCTATTTGGCCTTCCTAAAGTAGATGCATTTAGAAATCTTTGAGATTACTTACAACAGAACAGCAACGCATTTTATGGACGACCGTTTCGTGAACCTAGGAGAGGAGGTAATTCTGACTTTGCTATGACAGTCTGGCGCTTCTGAATCAGTTACTGTTTTGTTATTATTTTAAGTATTTGCTATTGACTGTTCAAATGCAGAGTTTTGCGCATCGTGTGTGTGTGCATGAGCGAGCGAGCGAGAGAGCGCGAGAGAGAGAGAGGGGGGAGGGGGGGGTCACATCACAGTGGAGTCAGCGGTCTTAACCGTGGCTTGTGTACTGCACACATACCAGCTTCATCACTGTGTCTGTCACGCATCAGTTACGGTTCGTTAGCTCTAGCTTTCTGCCCACTTCAAATCAGATACAGAGATGAAATAGTGTGGTAAGACCACATTTATTTGAATGAATTATAGCATTTATTTAAATGAATTATCGATCGAAAGAGAGATGACAGTTGTGTGTGTGAATTACCTGCGTCTGTGCGTCTCTCTTTACAAACTATGAAGCTGTTTAGTTACTTCGATTTTACCTCATTGCTGAGGAAGATAATAAAGCAATCTAGTATCTATGTTATTTTATTAATAAAAGTCGCGGGGCAGCACTGACAATAAGTTTGTGTGCGCGCAGTGTGATCTGCAATCTCCGACCTCTCTCCCTCTCACTGTGTTTATTAAATATCCATATTTAAAACGTAATTAACACTTTTTCTCACTTCCGCTGACTGTCGTACGTGGAAGCCGTCCAGGCGGATGACGTAGGACGTCGGCATTACGTGATTAGTGACGAGTGAGGAGAGAGAACAAAACAAAACGCTGGTCATGAATTAGAAGCACAAAACGAGGATTTGTAAAGAAAAATATTGGAGGATTTCGATATAAGCCAAGAGGAGACTGGTTTTCCTTTGCTAAAGTAAGGAAACTTTGCTTGCTTTGCTCCTGCATTTCTCAGAGGCGCATGCACGCCTACGTCATCCGTCTGTATGTCTTCCGCATACCACAGTCAGCAGAAGTGAGAAAAAAATGTTTATTACATTTTAAATATGGATATTTATCTTACAAAAATGCATGGATTCGCTACAGGAGGCCTTTATTCACCCCCCGGAGCCGTGTGAGGGACGTTTTATTATGGATGCGTGCACTTTATTTCTGCGGCATAGTTTCTTATTTCAGTCTTCTGAACTGTTGACAGCAAACACCCGCTTACCCCCATTGTAAGGCTTCGAGGGGCCAGGGCAATTTTTTATATAATTATATAATTATACTCTGATTGGATTCGTCTGAAAGAAGAAAGTCACATACACCTAGGATGCTTCGAGGGTCAGTAAAACACAGGCTAATTTTAATTTTTGGGTGAACTAACTCTTTAAGGTCTGTAAACCCCTCCCTTCCATAAGCTTACTCTCCTCTGATTGGTCAGCTGGCCAAGTCTGTTGTGATTGGTCTTTCCGTATACAATGCATGTTGGAAAGTGAAACGCCCATTACCAAATACCATAATTAATTTTTTGCTCCGGAGGGTTACTTGTAAACAAAGATGCTATAAGTTTACAAAAATGACATCGATATTACCTTATCAATTCAAGCCCAAGTCCGAGGATGATTCCGATGCAGTCGCTCAACCGGAAATCCCATTGCAAGCTCGTCTTGATCAGGACGTTTCTTAGTGGTAAGTTTAAACTTTGTATGTGGTACTTTACGTGATGCGACAGCAGTTTTATTGCATTCATTATTATTATTATTTACTTATTTGAGGTGCACGTGTGGGAACTGTGTTAGAATGCCCAGTGAGGCTGTAAACACAGCGTCTTCTCGACATGATGTAAACACACTAACTAGCGGAAATGTTTGTGGGCAGGTCAGAGTGTTCGTATTTCGCAGCCAGGCAGGGATTATGCAAATGTGACGTATAAAGGTAACAGGCAGAAAATTTAAAAATATAACGACTCGTTAAGGCGGTTCAGAGTCGACTCTTTCTTTTGAGAGACAATATCTTTATTTATCATGCATTTTTTTGATTAACAACTTTGCAGACTGTTTACATTGAAGGATAGCTACGTTACAAACTGCAAAAAATATATTTTTCGAAAACCCATATGACCTGCTCTTTAAGAATTACATTTTACATTTCAGTATACGATAGTAATATATGTCTGACATAATTTCTTTTATTTTTCTTTAACTTTTATTTTTGGTGGGTTGTTGTGAAGATCTTTGAGTTTCAGTGTGTATTTGACAGTGGTTTTTCTCAAATGAAACCATGAAAAGCTAGTGAAGTGACTCTCAGAACAGTGCTGGAAATGAAGTTCATGTGTTCATATCCTCATATATTGAGACATCAGATGGTGAAACTCCACGAGCGTCATGTGTTTTCAGTTTGTGCAGTAGATGAAATTACACCATTCATTCACACAGAGACACGCAACTGTCACAATATGGACCTTGTTTCTGTTCTCCTGTTTTGTTCCTTGACCTAGTTTTCCTTAGTTCCCTCGATTAGTTCATTCTGCTCACCTGTGTTCTATAATTACCCTCATTTGGTCTGTGTATTTAAGTTGCTCCTTTTCAGTTCTTCCTGGCCGGTTATTATTTTTTGTTATGTATGCTGCTTGCATTTTCTTATGTGTTTTCGGATCTTCCTCTACTCCTGGGATTATAATTATTTAATTCTACTCCGTCTCCATTCGCGTATCTCACACGAGAGCCCTGACAGAATAACCGGCCTACAAAAAGTGTTAGCGGCATGAGTCCCCGCGTTTATTTTTTCCATTGTGTTTTTTCTTTTGTGGTCATGGACCATCCCGAATTCCTCCTCCTCCTGCTGGAGCAGGGGGAGCGTTCTCTCGAGGACAATACAAGACTCTACCTGGAAGTAGCTCATTACACCAGCTACCCGGACGACTGCCTCTGCACGTTTTACAACGTGAGCCTCAACACCGCTTGCAGAGCGCAGTCATCCAAAAATGGTGCAAGGGAGAATTTTGCCGCCTTTGTGGAGTGGGTACTGGTGAGAAATGGATCCCAGTTCACCGTCTGCCCAGCTGATGAGGAACTCACCAGCCCCACTCCGGACCCAGAGCCCAGCCAAACACCACCCAGCTGCGTGGGGCAACAACCAGAGCCCACCGCAGACAGTTGGGTGAGGGTGAAGGTGAGGCTGAGCTGCCGCTGGACTCAGAGGATTTGATAGACTTTTTAGATGGTTTCCTTCCATCATCGTTTGAACTCTCTGCCTGTCCCGATACGGCCAAGGAGGCCGTTTATTAACTGTTCGTCTGCCCTGAACTGTCTGTCTGTTCCGCCACGATCACAGAGGTCGTTCCCCTGTCCGTTGCTATCTGGTGTGTGGGCAGCACACACCATCCCAAAACCCACTGCCAGTCACAAATTCCCACCCACCCTCCCTCTCCTACCACCTCTTCACCAGTCTTCGCCATCGCTTCCGCTGTCTCCTGTCAGCCCCTCTGCTCACCCTCATCACACTATCAGTGGTGTGGTTTTGCCGCGGGTCTGCCAGTTTCCATCAGCGTCGTGGCTAGACATGGGCCGATTACCGGTTTCAAGGTATACCGCAATTTGAAAATGTCATGGTTTCAAAACTGCTAATATTTTCCGTTATACCGTTTCTTGTCTCCTCAAAGACGGAAAGTGTAGGAATCCCTCAGGTTGAGTGCAGTGTAGAGAGTAACATGACCCCTCCTCCTCCTGTTGGAGCAAGCGAGTGGTCAGTCATTTGTGTGTAGGACGGCCGAACTAAGGAGCTTCCCCTGGAACTTATGCGATCGGCAACTGGCCGTTTTTTGTCTTATTGCAAGAAACTCATCTCTGTTCTGGACTTGCACAAACTGCGTTGCAATGCAATCGTTTTCCAAAATGTCATTTATGTGAAAATATGAAGTCTGTAAACGCCCGTTAACACAGGCCAGAGATGTTGAAGACGGACGCACAGAGAAAAAATACTGTAGCAGGCAGATCACTCACTGTTCATGATGCACGAACTATTGGAAGAAAATCCTCAATATTGATTTGGGGGTTTATATGAATGTGTTTCTGAGGGGAACTGACTGTCTTCAGAAAAGTTTACAAGGAATTTTCTTTTAATCTCGTCTCTGTATAGTTCATATGAAAGCAGTGTTTCAGCGCAGTGCTGCTTTGTTTACGCGGTGACCAAGGAAACGCAGTATCTGGTGTTTGAGAAGCGCCTCCTGCTATCAGAGAGTGAATCTGTGTCTTATTCAGAGCTTCTACTGTTTGCTTTGTTCAGGCATGTAGTATAAATGATATGAAATTATATAAATTATATGTATATGAATTATATAACTAAAATTAAATAACTAATTACAGATTTAGGTTAAATAAAGATGTCTTTATTTTTCTTCTTTTTAGGAAACAAATCAAAGAAAAAATAAACATTCCTAATATTCTGTATGTTGCTCAAAAACAAAATATATTGTGTTCAGTAGAAAAAAGTTTTTTTTTTTTACCCAGTCATTTAAAAATAACACATTTTAGAGCTGTAATGACAATACCGTGATACGGTGAAACCGTGATATTTTTGCTTAAGGTTATCATACCGTCAAAATCTCATACTGGCCCATGCCTAGTCCAGCCTGGATAGAACAAGAGCTTGAACAAGGATTGTGTTGCATGTTCTGAAAGAAAGGGCCTGATCTTCCTAATGTTGTATAAAGCAAATCTGCAGGACCAGGCAGTTTTAGTAATGTGGTCTGAGAAATTCAGCTTATCATCAATCACAACTCCAAGGTTCCTAGCTGTTTTTGAAGTTATTTGGGTTGATGAGCCTGACTGGATGGTGAAATTTTGATAAAGTAATGGGTTTGTTGAAACCACAAGCAGTTCTGTCTTAACCAGGTTGAGTTGAAGGCGATGGTCCGTTATCCAGCAAGAAATGTCTGTTAGACATGCTGAGATGCGAGCAGCTATTGTCGGATCATCAGGATGGAATGAGAGGTAGAGTTGAGTGTCATTAGCATAGCAGTGATATGAAAAGCCATGTTTCTGAATGACAGAACCTAGTGATGCCATGTAGACAGAGAAGAGAAATGGTCCAAGTACTGAGCCCTGAGGCACCCCAGTAGTTAGATGTTGCGACTTGGAACCCTCACCTCTCTGTGGACCTATCTGAGAGGTAAGACTCAAACCACTGGCGTGCGGTTCCTGAGATGCCATTTTCCAATAGGGTTGACAGGAGAATCTGGTGGTTCACAGTATCAAAAGAACACATTTTAGAGCAGTAACGACAATACCGTGAAACCGTGATATTTTTGGTTAAGGTTTTCATACCGTCAAAATCTCATACCGGCCCATGCCTAGTCGTGGCTGGAGGATCCCTTGTCTCCGCCTCCAGCCTCCGAAGCCCGGACTCTGCCTCGGCCTGTGGCTCCACCATGGCTCTTAACTCCCTCCTCTCCGCTGTGGCCTGTCAGTCCACCAGCTCCGCTGGGCTCCCTCGTCCCTCCGGCTCTGCCTAGGTCGGTCGTCGACCTGCCCTCTCCTCGGGACTACACTCCTCCGGCTTCACCTCGTCCCTTCTTCCTTCTGGCTCCATTGGGCTTCTCCCTCCCTCCAGCTCCACCTTGGTCCTCTGTCGCTTCAGCTCCATTGCGGCCTTCCGGATCCCTGCCTATGTCTCGGTCACCTGAGCCATCTGCTCCGCCTTGGCCCTCCGGTTCCTCCTCGTCGCCCTAGCTCTGCGGCTCTCCGTCTCCACCCTGGGGTCCTCTCCCACCTGCTCCACCGCTGTCAGTCGGCCCTCTGGAGTCGTCAGCCCTTCCTCCACCATGGCTCCTCCCTCCATTGGCTCCACCGTGGGCTGCCTTCCTGGCTGCGGTCTGGGTCCCGCCTGGCTCCTCCCACCGTCTTCGCCACCCTGGCTCCTCCCTCCGTCTGATCCGCCATGGTCCCTCCTGTCTCCTCCCTCCGTCAGAGCCACCCTGGTCGTCTGCCTGCCTCCCTTCTCCTGACCCTCGCCCTCCTCCTGAACCCCCGCCCTCCCTCCACTGTTGGTCCATCTACGGCGTGAGGCCGTGCCTTCCGGGAGGGAGGAGTTGTCACAATATAGACCTTGTTTCTGTTCTCCTGTTTTGTTTCTTGACCAAGGGTGCGTCTCAATCAGCTCCCTTGTTCAGTAGTCAGGGCACTGATCAGGGAGTCAGCCATTTTAAGGGCTGTCTAAATTGTGAAATCCTTCCAGTGCAAAGGAACGTTCGCGCCCTGAAAAATCCCACAATGCACTGCAAAAACTAGGGAGCATCAGCGCTCACTATGCTCCCTTACCGGAATTAACGTCACATTTCTGAAGCGTGAAACATAAACCACACGAGCCAATTCGATAAATATAATGACACGCGATAGATTTGAAAAGACAAAACCGTTTTTAGTATATTTCAATATAAGCAGACATCGCTAGACAGGAATTGAACACATCTAATTAACATTTATAATTAATATTCGGCTGAAATGTTGTAAGAACATGTAACAGAACGATGTGTTTAAAGAGAATAAAAATAATATAAAAATTAGATTGGTCCTGCCTGTTGTTTAGTAATTCCAGTGATGACGTTCTACTATGTTGTCCATTGACATTGTACATAATCATGTCACTGGAATTCGAGTGATCACTGTCCCAACATGCAGTGAGTCAGGGAACTTACCAGTGACCAAATTCGTGTACATGATCTAATGATTCACGAGCTCGGGAGCTAGGGAGATGATTGAGACACACCCCTAGTTTTCCTTAGTTCCCTTGATTAGTTCATTCTGTTCACCTGTGTTCAATAATTATTTGGTCTGTGTATTTAAGTTGCTCCCTTTCAGTTCTTCCTGGCCAGTTATTGTTTATTGTTATGTGTGCTTCTTGTGTTTCCTTATGTGTTTTTGGATCTCCCTCTACTCCTGGGATTATAATTAAAGGATATTTAATTCTACTCCATGTTCGCCTATCTCACACGAGAGCCCTGACAGCAACATGAATTGACTGGCTGTTGTTGCGTTTATTTCTGTTGTGTAATAGGCTGTTAGATTAATCCAAATTGAGTAAAAATGTAATTTATTGACATACATTTTATGGCGATAATATTATTATTTATTTGTATTTATTATTTTCTTTAATTACACAGCCCTAGAACTATCTTATTATTTTTAACCAACTAGTGATTCTAGCAGGTGTTTGAAGACTATTCGCACAGGTGTCCTAGAAAAATAACTGCAGATCTAGTTCACAACATTAATCATGAACATAACCCACAAACAACCAGAAAGCATACAAATATATTTTTGAACCATCTATCTTTGGGCTCTATTTCTTTATATAAATGCCACTTTGTGTGCTATTTTGTTATATGATTCAGTATCATTCATATACGTTAAGTGTGATGTAGATGTGCAATTATATTTTGGTGCCACTGGATATACAGTAAAAAGAGATAGAGAGTTTTTCTAAAAGCACTGTTAAAGAATAACATGATGCCTAACTCCTCTACCACTTGAGATTTTTAATTAAAAGAGACTGAGCCTGCTGCTGTAGATATTGTGAGGTAGGACGGTGCCTTCTTGATTAAAGGTTTAACTGGGGACTGTGGTGGTTCCAAAGGTGTAAGTTCCTCACCACAAGAGGGACCTGAAACCTTGTTTCCTGTGCAATGGAAAAAGTCCTCAAGGGGTTTGTCTTTGATGTGCACCTGATCCACTGAACATATAGGCTATAATGTCTCTGCAATGGCTCTTCACTAGATAAGACTGAATTATAATATTTTGGTTGTTTTGTCTTTATTTGATGGCTAATATTCACTGCACCTATGAAAACCTGTGCATGAATAACAATTCTCATATACTGTGTATATCATTCTACATTGACTTTCTCACCAGGTCAAGTGTGGTTTTCTCCAGCACATCCACCAGCTTCTCCAGCTTTGTGTTGGCAGTAAAAATAAAGTCATCATCCACCCATAGCACATATTTGGTGGTGACCTGTGACACGGCCAGATTACGACCAGCAAACCAGCCCTGAAATATAGACATACATATTCAGAACCCATCATACTGCATGTAAACACAGACAGAAATGTGTCATCAACTCAACAAAGTGACCCACCTTTCCGAAGGGCATGATGTAATGTTCAATATATGGGCCTGATACTGTTTTCGGGTGCTCACTGTCATCTGCTATCACTATTGTAACTGTTGGATAGTATTGTCGTATGCTGTCAATTAAATCCTGGAGCTTGTCATAGCGCAGGAAGGTTTTAGTTGTTATGGTCACGAGAGCACTGATGTTATACTCTGAAATCGAGCAAACAGAAAGTCAAATGTAAATGGAAACATGTGGCTTTAATTTCCTTACAATATAAATAACAAATAACACTAAAATCACAGAATGAATGATTGTTTTGCCATGAGCAAGGGTAAATGTGCTGACACATCTAATATACAAAGAATAAATTGAATTGTAGCAGCATACAATAGCTTACTACATTATTGTTGACTGAAGCACCGGAACCACTTTCTGCACTCTGAACATAACTGTTGGCTGATATTGAAATATGTAATTCTCTTGGCTTGCATTAAAAGTACATTTCTAGTGTAGAATATCCTTTAGTATCATTTTGCCTCATACTGAGAAAACAAACACATGAGGGCTGCACGATATATCGTTTCAGCAACGATATCGCGATGTGCGATGTTTAGTATACTGATCATTATATCTATACTGATTGTTTTCTTTGCTCACACACAGACAAGGTGTCTACACCGGACGCGACAGCTGTACAGAGATACCCATTTTAAATAAATTTAGTAGTGGAGCTACTGTACGCGATTTTCAGTGCTGGAAATCCGATTATTCTTTGTTGAAACTTCCGCGTCGTCGCGGAGAGCGCAGGTCACGGTCACTTAGCAACGGCAGATGCTACGAAAGCACAAGCTCCCGAGCGCTTTGGATAGAAGGAGAAAGCTGCGTGACTGGCGTTTTCCCACGCATTTTTAGGCGCTACATGTGAACGGCCCCAAAGTCTGTCTACACTACACAAAGCGACCGTTACATATCATTTGAACTTTGTATCAGTACGTCATAAAAAGAACGCGGCATCAGTTTACTGTCGGGAATTTGTCGTGCCGCGCCGCGCCGCATCCAGTGTAGACAGACAGAATAACTTATAATGGATTCTATTGTATTTTGTCGCGCCGCGCCGCTCGCGTCCAGTGTAGAAACAGTGAGAGCCACGCAGATGCAAGTGAACACTGAATTCTGTTCACTTCTGCATCTATTTGTGTCTGAAATACTGTGCTCTGCAAGTATCCTTGTAAACGCAGTTGCTTATGGCTTAGGTGAAGGAAAACAATTGAGAAAGAAAATGGATGTTTAACAGTATATTGGTTCACAGCAGTTTAAAATTCCTGTTGCTTTCGTTAATCAAACAACAAAACATAAAGAAAAATCACTTTTGTAGCGTTAACACAGATTTGTTAGATTTAATTTATAATGAAAACTATGCAGTGTTATTTTACATTTGATTATTCGATTTCTGTACCTGACTACTGTCAGACTTACCTGAAAAATATAAAGCACTGCTTATTTCATTTGTATCTTTGTTCTGTTATTTATCTATGCTTGTAATTTGTTTATTTCCTATGCTGATTTACTTGCCTACAAAATCCCCCCAATCATTGATTATTTTTTTTCCAAATATAGAGCTATTGAAGTCATCTGATTTTTTTTCCATATCGCAATTATATATCACAGAGGAAGAAAAAAATCGCAATGTGAGTTTTTCCCAATATCGTGCAGCCCTAATACAAATCATACTTATCCCTGCATATATCCACTACTTTTTAAACTCTGTTATATCCAAAAATATTCCCAGGCTGACAGGCTGCCGGATAGTCAAAAATTGAAGGTAATAAAAGCACGATAATTTATTCCCATGACAGCAAAAATTAATTTTCAGCAGTCAAATCATTCTAATATACTAATTTGGTGTTCAAGAAACATTTTTTATTTTCAGTGTTGAAAACAGTTATTTATATACTGCTATAGTAGCGGTTCCCAAACTGGGATGCGGGAGATAATTATTTTGATGATCTGTGTGTAAACATGCAGGCCCATCCATCTCACTAAAAAGGGTAGTAAGTAATATTATTTTTCATAATAACTCATATACAGTCAGGGCTTGACATTAAGTAACTTACATTTTAATACAATGTTGTCAATGTTGACTGTTTTTGCTTGATTTGGTTAACTAAAATAGTTCCAAACAAAGATCACAGCAGAACAGTCGCGCATCTCTGAGCAGCAACACACAGCGTTGTTTCATTACTGAATGATTCAGCGTTTTTGAATTGATCATTTGAGCCAAAGATTCAGTGGTCCATTCATAACGAGAGGCACTTGCTTCATTTGTGAATGAATCATCAACCGTCTGAAAGAATCGTTTGAATGAACGCCTCAGTGACTCACACATTAAGACAGTCACTTGATTCCACCTACTGCCGGTTTACTTTCATGTTTAAAAGTAGCTTATCTTTGCATTTTTCCAACATTTCATATTTGTATATTTTAAAAAAAAACTGATTTAAAACACCAAATTCATAACATTATTTATGCTGTTGTAATTCTGCAGTGTAACTGCATTCATGCTACACTTCAGCTTCATTAAACTATCTGTGTAAATGCATCTAAATGCCACTTCAGCTGCTTCTGTTTCTTCTGCAGGAGAAAGATCAGTTTTGGTAATACTGATTATATTTGATTGGTAACAGCCCTATAGTGTCTTATTATATTAAGTAAAAATTAAATAGGCAAAAAATGACCTGGAAATCTATTTAAATAAATTTTAATATGCAGTAACTTTAGTCCTATAAAACATAATTTTCCAACGACAAAATTGTGGCCAGTTAAAATGCTGAGTGGTTAGTAATTTTTTAAAAACCACTAGCCACAGTGGCTGGTGAGCAAAATAGTTCGTCAATATAGCCCTGTATACAGTGATATATTTGTATCATTGCAGTAAAAATGTGGTGTTTAACTGGAGTAAGGTGATGGGGGTGCTTGTACATGTGTCAAACCAGTGGTGTAGTGGTGCCTGGAGAAGTGGGTATACTCTTAATTTATGCCCCACATTTTTAAAGCGACCCAGCAAAGGATGAACACCATGTGTTATAAACAGTGACGTGTAAAACCAGTCTTGTATATTTAGTTCACCCCAAAATGGGCCAGTAGTATTTGCATATTGTCACTTAACTTCTGCTGCTTGACTTCACAGAGTAAGGATCATTATGAAATAAAAAATAGCCACAGAATTCAAATTTTAAAAAATAGACTGCAGCAATTAACATTTTGTCAGAACCTCTAGTACATTACATGCTATTTTGTTTAGTTGTCTGTTCGTAGTAGAATCATGATCTCTACTAAAAAATAAAAATAAAAAATCGTGACTATAAATTTATCCAGAATTTATCCCCCCATCCCCACCACCTTTTAAATATAAATAAGCACCAGTCAAGCTGCAATATCAAACATTTCCTCACTAAAGCTCTCTGACAAAGTCCATCATTTATTTTAATTATTATATTGAATTTATTACTGAACAATGGCTTGTTAGATACAGAGAGAGCATGAGCTAATTGAATAGAATATCTTTGTCATTGTACAAGTAACGTTACAATAAGATTTATTTTGAAA